AAATTTTATCATTTAGACTTAGAATCTATGAAATTAATATACACACCTCCTTTGTGCTTTTTATATTTATATTGAACAAAACAACTGATATAGAAAAAAATTACTTAGAGACCTTGTATTTTTCTGGGAGTTTATATAACAGTATATTTCTATTCTGCCCTTTTGCAAGTTTAGTGACATTGCAAAATGAAAACAAAAGTATTTTGAAAGCACTATTCCTGAACGTGTTTTTTTTCCAGATATTTAAATGTTTAGTTCAAAAACAGTCAAGGGATAAACATTTTGTCATGTTTGTTGTTAGTCAATAAGTATTTATTGAGCTATGAAACAACATCCTTGTCAAACATGTTGGGACTATAGTGCAGGATATTAATTAAGTATTGTGGTTTTATCCTGACAAAGGACACAACTTTTATTATGCTGCTTAAATCATTTAACTCATCTATGTAACTAGAAATAGAGCACTTCCAGGAATTTCAAAGGACACTATAGAATGTGTCATGATTACATAATATTGTATTTGCAAATCTGCTGTGTCAAGCCATCTTACATTCTCAGGCAAAATATATCTTTAGTAACATTTTTATCTCAAACAAAAATTTCAGAATCCTACGGTTCTTTTATTTGGTGTGATACATAATGTTTCATCTATTTGCCATTGTGGTATAATGTGTTTGTTGAATTGAATACTTCTTTCTCCTTTTGATACAGGAAATTAAATGAACAATAGAGATAATGGTTCTGCAACATCCTGAAAATTAATATATTCACTAGAAATGACATTAAATTGGATTGTTTTATTATATGCTGCTTATCATCTCTCCAACTGAATAAAATGGAAACATTTCCAGGTTCAGAAAGTGCTTTCTAAATTTGATATTTATCATTAGAATAATATTCTAAAAATACAAATATTTGATTGAATATCTGGGAGGTGTAACAGTGTCAGTTATACTAAAGTACCGCTGCATGAAAATGCAAGGGTTGTCACAGTGAAGTCACAGAGATGGCGGGATAGTGCTTCCCTCTTGCCTGACATTGAGTTGTATTGATCACAGAATTCTCCAAAGCCAATGATGGATTGCACTTTCCTAGCCACAAATTCTCGCACAGTCTTATAAATAAATGACATATTTATTTTAGTTCCCAAAAAGATTTCATAAGCAATAGACATAAAAGAGGAGCAATTGTTTGAGTGAAAAACAAAAGCTTTTACATATTTCAACCATTGTCTTATTTTATTCTTTCCAGAAAGAAAGAAGAGAAACTTTGTGCTAAGTGTTTGATTTCTAGCTCTTAAATCTCAAAGCAACAATGATAAAAGAAAAAGTGCACTCATAATCCTTTAGAGTAGCACTATAATGGTGGGAGAGGGATTGAAGCTATTTGAGATAGTATCACATGTATACAATTATAACTGTGTAATGGTAATTATTATCTGTGAAATTATCATCAATTTAGTCATAATGTTGATATAAATATTTGCCAGAGCTATGGGTACATTGTTAGTACTATCGACTGCCCTGTGTAGTAAATGCATATTGCTTTACTTTTGGTTCAGACAATCATGTAGAGGAAGGTGGGGTTAGCAGCATTGGGCATGAGGGAAGATTACAGACATGGCGTCATGATCTACTGGTTAAGAGCATCCACTGGACCCAAGACTATATGGATTTGAATCTTGCCTCTACTACTTAAGCAGTGGGTCCTGGGGCAACATAATCTCAAAGTTTCTTTTTCCTCATCTTTAAAAAGGAGGATAGCAACCCTTTATAGGGTTGCTATGAGGATTAAACGAGTTAATATTTTTAAAGCATTTGGCATCGTGTCTGGCCCATAATAAACACTGGATAAGAGTTTATTAAAAAAAAAAACACACACACACACAAAACACACACAAACAAACAGCAGAGAATAAAGCAGAAAAGACATATTTCCTGGTAAAACAATGCTTTTTGCTCTAGCCTTAAATTACCCACCTTCTTCAAATCTGGATTCATCTGCCTTATTCTCATATCTTATGAACCCTCTTTAGAGCCCATGTTCAGGGATTTCCAAGTGCTCAGATAGTAACCTCACTTTCTTTGCTCTGATAAAAAAAATAACAAACAATCAAATACTTCTATAGTGTTAGCATGGTTGGCAGCATCTTGTGTAAATACATTAGCATCATAGTATGAATCATTCATTATACTAACATTTCATCTTTCTGAAAGGTCATTAATTATAATTTGTTCATCAAAATCACCATCATCTTTAGAACTGTGTAATCAAAAATCTATTCCCATGCTCTTGACCTAAATGAGATTTGATGTAGACCTAATCAAAATGAGAGAATTTGGACTAATCTCTAGGCCCCATTTAGCTTAAAGATCAATCCAATATAATAAAAGCCTAATATGGTAAGTGTCTGGTCATCCAGTTGTCCATTCAACCAATCAAAACGTAATATGCTAATGGATATGCTAAGGCTGCTCAACTGCTTGCTGTAATGTGAACTGATCACCAGGAGGCAGACAGTCGACTGGCCAACCAGTTGTTATGATGTGCACTGACCACCAGGGGGCAGACAGTCCAACCAGTAGGTTAGCTTGCTCCTGGGGTCCAGTCAATTGGGACTGAGTGAGACAGTCTGGACATGCCCTCCTGTGGTCCCTCCCAAGCCCTGATTGTGTACCAGTGGGGTCCCTTGGCCTAGCCAGTACCCTCTGACATCCCCTCAAGGGGATGTCAGAGAGCTGGTTTTGGCGTCCCACAGGCTAGGCCAAGCGACTCCACGGGTGCACGAATTCGTGAATTCATGCACCAGTGTCTAGAGAGTCTATAAAACAAGGCCATGCCAAAGGAAACTAAATGTCCTAAGTCTTTTCCTAGAAGTATCCTTTCTGTGTGCATTTTATAGGATGTTCTGACAGAGAAAAGTAAGAATCTCAAAAATATACCTACCAGTGTCATTCCCCATGCAGCTTTGGTTACGTAGCCTTTATCAAAAGCAGCAACTTATGACAGGTACTTTCTTTTATTTACTAGTAGCACTACATCTGCAGAATTGGAGAAGGAAGAAGGAAGGGGGAAAAGCTAGGAGTCCAGGACCTGCAAAAACCTATAGCATCTCAACAGTTTTTGAGCTATACCACACTCAGACAGGGTTCAGAAGGGTCCTGCACTTGGTTTAATTCTGTTGTTACCATCTTGATATTTATATAGATAAAAGACTAAGTGACTGTTACAACTGGTCAACTGGTGGCTATGATGTGCATTGAACACCAGGGGGCAATGTTCAATGCAGGAGCTGCCCCCTGGTGGTCAGTGCACTCCTACAGCCAACCTCCTGTGGCCCACCAACCTCCTGTGGCCCCTACCCCCAGCCGGCCAGCCCCAATCAGGGTGGCTGGCCAACCTCCTGGCCCCAATTGACCCAATCGGGACTGGGCAAGGTGGGTTCCAATCACTAGCCAGGCTGAGTGACCCCACCTGTGCACAAATTTGTGCACTGGGCTTCTAGTTATTAATAATTATTAAATGGAAAGCTCATATTTTTTATTTTGTTCTAGGCCTGGAAAATGATATAGCTGGGCCTTCATCCAGCCTCTTGTAGAATCATGCCTTGATTCGTAAGTTCAATTTCATTGGTTAATTAAGTTAGATAAAAGTAATGTGTAAAATCACAGGATATTAGATCTGAAAGGGACCTTGAGCATCTACAATGTATAATTCAGGTTCTCTGTTTCCCTTGCTCTTGGGGAAGGTGATCCCCTAAGAAAGAAAGTGTGTTTGTTTTATTGTATTGTTTATTGATTTTGACAGCATCTTTATGAAATAAGGCAATAACACTACTATTGCTGTTTACAGAGCTATAATTACATATATTGAAGCAAATATTTTCTTTCTTTTTTCAAGTATTGCAGTGCTTACATATAATAGGAGATTGGGACAAATTACAATTTTTGGAAGGCTAGATTTTCAGATTCAAGCTTGTTTTGAAAACTTAATTAAGCTGTTTCTTAATTAAAAATTTATTTGCAATAGCCATAATAGATTAATTTTATTAAACAACTGCTATGAAAATCATTAAAGACATTTCCTGTGTAGGCTTTACTTAGGGGTACTTACTCAGAAAATGAAATTAGAAGAAGTAGTAATAAAACCTATTATTTATCACCAGGGATTTCCAGTACATATTTGCCAACATTTTATTTTGTTATTACATCCATCTCTTTTGGTGAAGAACACAAAAATTGACCAGAGATTAGTCTCAGAAATTACATACCTTAGATTAAATATCCTTCTTCTAATGGAAGTTGTGCATAGATAGTCTCATTTAATAATGTAAAAAAAAGACATTTTCCTTTGTTTGAAAGTTAAGTTCATTATTTAATGCAAAGTTTTTTTTCTGGGTAATTAAATAAAAAGAGCATATGAATTGTTATTTGTTTTTAAGCTACTTCAAACAAGAATGTATTTATAGTTCTGAATAGTAATACAAATAAGTAGCAGATTCTGTCCCTCGTCAGCAGGTTCTAGGCCATATTGTAAGAAAGTAGACTTGCCTGACGGCAATGCCCTGGCACCCAGGTGGACACTAATGGTAGACCACATAGAAAAAGAAACAAGAGACAGTGGCTTGGTAAACCCATTCTGTGTGCCTAGCTCTGAACACAGAAGAAGTATTAGATATGTAAACAGCTTTAATCAAAGAGCCCTATCAACTTTTACTTTATAGATAGTAAATTTGTAGGAGCAAATTAAATCTTAATGGTACAGTCATCAGAATTAAAAAATTAAAATTCTAGGTATCACTCTATGTGCCAGGCCAGCACAGCCAATTGTTCAGTGAGGAGGAGGAGGGTGGGGGGGGGGGGGCGAGGTGTGGCGAAGGATTAAAGAAAATACAAACTGGGGCTGGGTGGATCTCCTGTGCCTGGCTAAGGCCACAGAGAGAGATCCAGAGGGCAAGCTGAGGCTTTATTTTATAGCCGGAGGTAAACAAGGTAGTGGTCACCATAGTTACAATGTTCTTGTGAGTTTCACTTGTTTTGGTAGCATTTGCTGCATCTCCCACAGCCCATTAGCTATCCAGGGAGGATCTAGGGAGCTTCATAAAGTCAAGCTTAATTATGCTAAGAGGGCTGTGTCCTCTAAGCTGGAACTTGTTTGTGGCTTTACCAACAGGTAAGTCCAAGGCTTAACCCTATAGCCGCTTCCTAAAACTCTGGACATGATCTCTTATATCAATAGTCAAATATAGTGAATTCTTCATGTATCTGTATTTGTGCTTAGGTCATAATCTCTTGTAGGGAAAGGATGTCTTATTCACTGTGGACAGTCCAGTTGCCCTAGCATAGAAGTTGAGATACAGAAGGTGCACAATGAATGCTTGTTGAGTGAATGAATTAATAATTATTATAATACTAGAGGCCCAGTGCACAAAATTCCTACATGGGGGCCGGGGTGGTATCCCTCAGCTCAGCTTGCACAATGGGATCAGGCCTAAACAGGCAGTCGGACATCCCTCTCACAATCCAAGACTGCTGGCTCCCAACTGCTTGCCTGCCTGCCTTCCTGATTTCCCCTAACTGCTTCTGCTTGCCAGCCTGTTCACCCCCTAACCACTCCCCTGCCAGCCTAATTGATGTCTAACTGCTCCCCTGCCAGCCTGTTTGCCCCTCTCTGCATGTCTGGTCACCCCTAACTGCCCTCCCCTGCAGGCTTGATTGACCCCAAATGCCCTCCCATGCAGGCCTGGTCCCTCCCAACTGTCCTCCCCTGCTGGCGAGGTGGCCATCTTATGTCCACATGGGGGCAGGATCTTTGACCACATGGGGGCAGCCATCTTGTGTGTTGGAGTGATGGTCAATCTTCATATTACTCTTTTATTAGATAGGATAGAGGCCTGGTGCATGGGTGGGGACCAGCTGGTTTGCCCTGAAGGATGTCCCGGGTCAGGGTGTGGGTTCCCTTGGGGCATGGGGTGACCTGGGCAAGGGGCCTGTGGTGGTTTGCAGACTGGCCATGCCCCCTGGTGACCCAAGCAGAGGTTCTGGTATCTGGGATATATTTATCTTCTACAATTGAAACTTTGTAGCTTTAAGTGGAGGTCAAAGCAGGCCAGGGCTGCAGAAACTTGGCTTCCTCCATCACCAAGGGCAACCCTAGCCTCCTGCTCTCTCCAGCTCCATGGCTGCCACCACTTCTGTTGGAATTTATTTATCTTCTATAATTGAAACTTTGTAACCTTAAGTGGAGGCCTGAACTAACCAGGGTGTGTGGAAAGCTTGGCTTCCTCCATCACAGGGGAAAGCCAAGCCTCCCTCCTGCTCTCTCTGCGACTACAGCCATATTGGTTGGGTTAATTTGCATACTCACTCCTGATTGGTTGGTGGGTGTGGCTTGTGGGTATAGCAGAGTGATGGTCAATTTGCATATTTATCTCTTATTAGCTAGGATGGTCAGCTACCCTGCATTAGTCTCTATTATGCGGTAGGCATTGTATTAAGGATTTAATACATTTTTCTCATTTGATGGCCAAACTTCAGGACAAGCACTACCAATGTCACTGTTAGCACACAGAGTACCTTGTTTTTGTTTAGAAAAAAGGCTTCCTCTCGAGGCTCATGAACAAAAAACATTAGAAATCAGTTCTTCCCTCTAAGCAAATGCAGCCCCAGGGGCTGTGGTTGGTGGACCCTAGGCTGAATTTCAACCTCCATGCCCCCTTTGGCTTCTTGCTGTGCTGGCCACAGCCTACATAATTGTACATAGTGATTCTGGGTATCAATACCATTCCCACTTAATGTATGAGGAAACCAAGGCATGGTTAAGTAACTTGTTCAAAGCACACAACTACTACTTATTGCTGTGTAAATTTGTGAGTGGCATAACCCACATTTCTTGCAAGAGCTGTGAGATCCTTACGATTCTGGAATCTACACCATAATCTCAGTCTAACACTTAGAAATGGGTAACTGTTCATGGTGTCATAGTGACAATGTGGAACCATTTCAGAACCCTGTGCCTAGTATTGCCGCAAAGATACCATGAGGTATAATAGATAGTTGCTGACCAGTATTTTGGCATTCCAGGGTCCCCATGATAATAATCATGTTGATTGATGATGATCCTGAATATTTGTGTAACACTTTCCAGTTAAATATTTTTCCATTAAGGGAAATAACAGTGGCTTATAATCTGTAGGTTCTCACAGAAGTCCTTTGAGGTAAGCAGAGAAGGTGCTATTACCAAATATAGCAGGCTAATTCTTAAGTTGATAATTTTGTATGGCCTGAGAACCTATTCTAATAAAAGAGTAATATCCAAATTAACCATCACTTTATCACAAAGATGGCGACACACATAGCGGCCGGGGTGGGATGCTGGTGTTGTCGCCCAGCAACGAGGACAGCATCTCACACCCTGGCCGCAGAGGGAGGGAGGGAGTCTGGGCAGGGAGGATGCCCGCAGCCCAGTGGACACAACACAGGGTCCCTCTGCCCATGAGCTTCAAAAGAAACACCTTTTCTGACACCTCAGTGGCTAAGCTCCCTGTTTGCAGCCACTTGCAGTGTTCTTGGTAACTTAGGTAATAAGAATTCAAGAAGGTCATCTAGGGTTTTTCCACCTCACCCCTGGAGGAAAAACAAAGGTCCGCTGCTGGAGGGGCTAAGAAATGTCATATCCTGCCCTAGCCGGTTTGGCCCAGTGGATTGAGCCTCAGCCTGCTGACCGCAGGGTCCGGGTTTGATTCTGATCAAGGGCATGTAGCTAGGTTTCAGGATCCTCCCTGGCCAGGGCCCAGATCAGGGCTTATGCAGGAGTCAATCAATCGAAGTGTGCTCTCACATTGATGTTTCTATCTATCTTTCCCTCTTTCTTCCAAGTTCTATAAAAATCTATGGAAACATATCCTCATGTGACCAGGCCTGCAGGGGGCCGTGACTGGCGACCAGGCTGGCAGGGGGGCAGTTGGGTGCAACCAGGTTAGCAGGGGGGTTCGTTGGGGGTGACTGTGGTTGGTGTTTCTCTCTTTTTCACTTCCATCTCCATCACGGTAAAGGAAACAGGTTCCTGAGTGGAGGATCTGGGGATTAAGAAATTGAAGAAAGAAAGAGACCAAGAGGCAGAAATAGATTCATAAAGTTGGGAGCGAGGTGGGCGCCATTCTCTCTGATGGAGAGGCAGCAAGCACTGAACCATGCAACAGGTTTATTTTTATATCTCAAAATACCAAGAAGTAACACCAAAACTTTGGATCAAAGGAGCTTATTTGCATTCAAACTAGGCCCTAGCATTACTGGATTTACATATCTAGACCCGTTCCTGCTGACACCTGGACAAAAGTAAGTCAGAAACTCAATAACACCGCCTTCCTTCTTGTGGGGGAGGGGGTGTAACCAGGGACACAGACTCTGCCACTGCCTCAGGCTCAGATGATAATTTAAAGAATGTCCATGTGCCTTCCCATGAGGCTCTCTACAGTGACCTGGCCAGCAGTTGGGCAGTGAGGGGTGAACAGGCTGGCAGGGGGGAGCAGTTAGGAGTGACCAGGATGGGAGGGAGGGGGTAGTTAGGGGTAACCAGGTTGGCAGGGGGCAGTTAGGGGTGATTAGGCTAGGATGCAGAGGCAATGAGGGGTGACCAGGCAAGCATGGGAGGCACTTAGGGGCAACCAGGAAGGCAGGCAGGTGAGTGATTAGGAGCCAGTGTTGAGGATTGTGAGAGGGATGTCCGACTGCCGGTTTAGGCCCCATCCAAGGATCGGGCCTAAACCGGCAGTCGGACATCCTCCAAGGGGACCCAGATTGAAGAGGATGTATGCTGGGCTGAGGAGACACCCATACATGAATTTTGTGCACCTGGCCTCTAGTTTTTAAGTAATTGTTTGTATTTCTGTAGGATCAGTTGTTACTTCACCTCTTTCATTTCTGACTTTGTTTATTTGGGTCTTTACTCTGCTTTTTGGTGAGCCTGGCTAGAGGTTCATCAATTTTCTTTATCCTTTCAAAGAAACAGTTTTTGTTTTTGTTGATGTTTTGTAAATTTTTTTTGTTCTCTATGTCATCTATTTCTGCTCTGATCTTTATTGTTTCCTTCTTTTTGCTTATGCTGGGGATTTCTTATTGTTCTCTTTCTAATGCTTTGAGTTGTAGGGTTAGATATTTTATTACAATTTTTTCTTGTTTTTTTTTTGAGGTAGGCCTGTAGAGATATGAATTTCCCTTTCAAGATTGCTTTCACTATGTTCCATGGATTTTGGATTGTTGTGTTTTCCTTGTCATTTGTTGCCATGATGCTTTTTATTTCTTCTTTAATCTCTTTGGTAACCCAATCATTGTTTAATATAGGGGTGTCGAACTCAATCAGAGAAGGGGCCAAAATCTAAAATCCAGCCTAAATTGCGGGCCGAATGGTCTACTGAACAGTCATAAACTGTCATTGTGATGGAAACGCAGCGGAGTGCAGTGATGACAGCGTGGTGCGGGCCACATTGCAAGGCCTGGCGGGACGGATTTGGCCCGCGGGCCTTGTGTTTGACACATGTGGTTTAATAGCATGCTATTTATCCTCCAGGTGTATTTATTGTTTTTATTGTAGTTGATTTTTAATTTTATGCCATTGTGATCTGAGAAGATGCTTGATATGATTTCTATCTTCTTGAATGTGAAGAGACTTTTTCTGTGTTCCAATATATGACCTAACTTTGAAAATGACCCATGTGCACTTGAGAAGGATGTATATTATGTGGCTTTGGGGTGAAATGTTCTGAAGATGTTAATTAATTGCATCTAATCTAGTGAGTCATTTAGGATTGATTTTTCTTTGCTGAGTTTTTATTGAGAGGATTTGTCCAGTGGTGTTAGTGGGGTATTAAAGTCCCCAACTGTATTTCTGTCAATCTCTCCCTTCATATCCTCTAGAAGTATTTTTAAGTATTTTGGTGCTCCTGTATTGGGTGCATATATGTTTACCAGACTTATATATTCTTGTGGAATTGCTCCCATTAGCATTATGAAGTGGCCTTCCTTATCTCTTGTTATGGCCTTTACTTTGAGGTTTAATTTGTCAGATATAAGTTTTTCTACCCCAGTTTTTTGTCATTTCCTTTCGCCAGATAAAATTTTTTCCATCCCTTCACCATCCGTCTGTGTGAGTCCTTTTATCTGAGGTGGATTTCCTGTAGATAGCAGAAATATGGGTTATGTTTTCTTATCCA